AAAAAAAAAAAAGCGAGGGAGAGGATTTTGCCAGGGTTAGTGGTGATGTGTCTTTTACTATAATAAGTTTTAAAAAATTTTAGCATTCCCCATGCATTTTGATCACCCCTTATGTGTAACTTGCAGATGTGTATGTGTGTGATGTATTCCATGACAAGAACACCCAATTGTAGCTATTAAAACATTAGCCAAGCTAATTGTTTACCCTCTAATGAAGCTGCTTACTAATCTTCAGCAGTGTTAAAGCTTCCAGTTAAAGACTTTCACTGGATGTTTATATAACTTTTGTTTACTTTAAAAAGAAAAATTGTTGGGCATATTTTTGAACCGTTGTGCCGAGGTGTATTCAGAGGAGCAGTGCTCACTGGGTCTTTGGCACTGCCTCAGTGGGGTGGAAGATACTTCAGAAGTATCATAATGCAGTACTTCTCCATCAGGTACAGTGCTGGACTGGAAACTGGATCTCTCCTTTGGTTTTGGCCCTGCTGCTGTCCCTCCGTGTGGTCTCTGGCGGGTCACTCCCTGAGTTTCAATTTCATCATTTGTTAAATGAGGGAGTTTGAGCCAGAGGACCTTAGAGGTCACCTGTCTAGACTTCTATTATTTAGTTGGAGTTAAAGAATCTGGTGACATTGTCATTGTGTTTACAGAGTAATTCTGTTATTCAGAAGGAATTTTCTTAGGACACAGCTACAGTTCAGTACAAAGACACCTTTAAAAACTCTACTTCTATGCAAAGCTTTGCTTATAACTTGGAATTTGGTGTTACGAATGAACAATAGGCCTTCAGAAGCGGTAAGAACACTGCACCCAGAGCCAGAGAGCAGGGCTGGCTCCCCATCCTGCTTCCGCTGGCTGAACGAGCCCAGGGTGGGGGCTGGGGTAGTCTCAGTATCTTCTTCCAAAAAATGGTAATAATAATCTCCATTCCTTCAAGGAGTTGTGAGTTCAAGGGTCAGGGATTTAGCTCAGTGGTTCCGACACCTGCCTCTCAAGCGCAAGTTTGATCCCTGAGTTCGATCCCCAGTACCAGAGAAAAGGAGTTGTGAGTTGGAAGATAGTAACGAAAATAATTTTGTAAAATAGCACATCCTTGCTATGGTATAGGCACTCTCAAAATTATCTGAAGTGGAATAGGTTCAGGAAAATGTAAATAGAACAAATTTCTTATTAAAAATCTAATTTTGATAATTAGAGCCAATGTCTGGTTGTGTAAAGGCCCGGGGTTTTCATTTGTTTCTGTGGTTATTGCTCTCGCAGTCCCAAGGATCGAATCCAGGGCTTGTACTGAGTTATACCCTTGGCTCTTTTAAAAGCTTTTATTTTGAGTCAGGATCTCATTAAGTTGCTAAGTTGCCCAGCCTGGGCTCAAGCTTGAGATCCCCCTGCCTCTGTCTCTGAGAGTGCTGAGATCACAGGCGTGTCCATCCAGAGGCTAAGTGCCAAGGTCTTGGGTGGAGTTGCATCCTCCAGGCCCTGCTGTTCCCAGTGGAGGTGGCCGGCTGCCCACCCCACCTGGGCTCCTGCTTCCCTCTGGGGACTTCTTTGCTCTGAGAGAGGAACCGGCAGGTATCTCCTTATCACCTGTCTACGGCTTTGGGCTTTTCCTTCCAGGCCTCTATTCTTCACATTAGCTAAGCTCCTGCAAAATGAAAAGTAGCACAATGTCCAATGGCCTGGGGCCCTGGGATAAGCCTCGGTCCATGAGTGCCCAGTTACCCTGTTGGATGCAGCTCTGAGATGCTGATTGGCACCCCCGGAAACCGTGCAGTGTGCCTGACAGAGAAGCAGGAGAGCAAAAATACCACTGCTGGGCTAATTTGCCTTTGCTGAGCTGAGCTGATGATTTATCCACATCATGGTTGATGGCCCTGGCCGGGGGTCTCATGGTTCACAAGGGTGAGCTGAGATTGTGCACCATGTAAAGCACCTGTAAGACTATTTCCCATTCTTTGAGTGTCCTCGATACGACATTATGATGTACGTAATACCGCATAATACCTCACTTCTGAGGTATCCTCCAGGGTCGTAAGTGGCTGAAGATGGATTGAGAAATCCTATATGAGGCACCGGTTTTACACTGTGTGTTGTAACCGTCTCCTGGCTTCTCCCTGAGGCCCTGAGTTCATTCTGTTACAATCCAGTTGGTGCATCAGCACAGCATGGATGCTCCAAGCTCTGGAATCTCCTACCAGGGACAGGAAAATAGAATTTTTCACCATAAACCCAAATGCCAAATATAGCACCCCTGATAATCATTCAGGGAGTTTTATGGATGATATCCCCGTGACTTCTGTGTTTCAAAACAATTGGGGTCAATTTGAAGTCAATTTTTTCTAGACTTTTAGAGTAATGTTTAATATCCTGAAGCAGGAGCAGGGTTCTACATCTGTGAATAAGGGAAGTGAGGATGGGAAGATAACCTCACCCTCCATCAGTCTAGTTTCTTTCTTCAGACCTGCAGAAAATGCAACCTCTACAAGTGAAAGTTCAGAAAAGATTGGAACTCAAAGTGGAAGATGCTTCCTACAGAATCGGAGAACCCAGAAGAGTGGGCCCCCTGGAGGGCAGGCAAGTCCGCCCCTCCTCCTCATTGTACCCACTTTTGGTGCAAGGTTTCTTGGTTCTGTTCTAAAGAATTTAGACAACTGCTTGGTCTCAGTTTCCTTTTCTATAAGCTGGGGATGAAAACACCAGGTACCCAGAATTGTGAGACTTAAATGAGACAGGCATGAAATATGCGTTGCATGGAAGACAGTGCAAGTACAGTGCATGATCCTTCCTAAGAATAGATAAATAACATTTCTCATCAGGGAGGCCAGTGGGCTGTGTGCTCAGGTGGAAATCACGCGGCCAATGGGACCAGACCTCAGTCCAAATCCCACCTCTGCCTCTGGCTGGTGGCTTTGAATGGCTGTTTCCCTTTTCTGAGCTCTGATTTCCAAACACAGCTGTTGTGAGAATAGGATCCGAAGGCATAGAACAATTTCATCATTGTAGAAAGCTCTCAGCACAGACACGTTTATTAAACTCAACATGAAGCTGGGCACACGAGAAGTTCTCCATCATCACTTGCTCCCTTCTCCCCTGTCCCTTCCTTCTGCCTTCTGTTAGCTGATACCTTCGCCGCCCGTACCCTTTGGGAGGTCATATTCTCAGCTCTCCACCTGCAAACATCATCTTTTCCCTCCATCCTAAAACCAAAGCAACTCTATTAAATGAAAAACTCTGCGAGTATTGTTGAGTCACCTTGATTTTTGGTAAAGACAACCATGCACTATGTAGTTAAGGTAATTACGCGGTCAGTTATTAGGCCGATTATTCAATAATTAGGGTTCATTACAAGGACAGATTTATATTATCTTGATTGGTCTTACACTCAAGCAAGCATGACTTGAGTGTTGCAAAATAACATGGTAAGATATTGGAAGCCCGTGATGCCCTTCCTAGGGTAGGTTAAATCATGATTGTATGTGGAGTTTTTGAGACTCCTTTCTGTAAGAGGGAAGTTATATACCTTTCAAACAGGACAAGTGTTCCGATTTTCCTTAACCTCTGGCGGGCTGTCCCAGAAAGCATGAGCCTGGCTTTTTAGCCTTTGGGTTGACAAGTTATTTATTTTTTGCTGCATGTCTCCATAGCCCATCCCAACAATCAGATTTTAAAAACAGTGTTCAGCTTTTTCTTGGTCCCCTTTAGCAATATTCCATTCTTAGAACCACGAGCAACTTTTTATCTTCTAGCAGCCCCCAGAGGGACCTCCCAGAGGTGTCACAGTGATTTAGCTGCTAGTGGAGAAACAGCTTCCGGGCTGTACCCCTCCTCGGCCTCCTGTTGATGGCCAAGCCTGTTTCGCCAGCACTTCGAGGTGGAGCAGAACCGAGGTCTTGAGAAAATAAACTCTCCTAGCCTCGTGTACTGAGCGTGCAACCAGGGCTCCAGCCCTTATCATGACTGGGACAAAGCCCATATCACTTGTAAGTGATACTGCACAGTGACAAGCTGCCTGACATTTTAATGATTTTTTTAGTGTATGAAAAATTAATTTTATTTTAAAAAATAGCCTGTGATACTTCTGTAACTTGGGGCACCTTAATTTTCTATATCGTTTATGTATAGAAGATTAATTACAGCAGACTTTCCCAAGTGCATAGTGAAAATATAATAAGAAGATAGCTTCAGCAGTTACTTTGAGCTCTTCTGCCATTGTCTTAGAAGTTATCTTTTGTACTGACTTTTCCTTCCCAGAGACCCCTGGCAATGCAGCCTGGGATCTAGCTTTGGGGCCACCCAGCATCTTACCTGCTCTTGCAGGTGGCTGATGTTTTCCTCGTACTGGGAATAGTCTTTCTTGCTGACGGAATCTCTCTCCTGATGCCACTGCAGGATGCAGCTCTCCAGCTTCTGGTTGGCGGCCTCCAGCGCCTGCACCTTGCCCAGGTAGGAGGCCAGGCGGTTGTTGAGGTTCTGCATGGTCTCTTTCCCATTTCCACCTAGAAGGGGACCACCCCTTCCAGATCCCCAAGACCCTCCCAGGGGCAGGCAGCTCGGCCTGGAGGAGGAAAGAGAGACTCGGATGCCCCCTGCACCACCATGGACGCTGGAGGCCCGGGGGAAGCTCCTAGGCCAGCTGCGGCCAGCTCCTGTCCCATGCGGGGAGGCTGAGCCGCTCTGGATGAAGCTGTGGCTGGAGTTCATGGTCCCATTGGTGTTTGAGGCCAGGCTGGGCTCTGCTCTGCTCCCTGGCAGTGGAGGACTGAGCCGCCCAGACTGCCCCGGATGGTTTTATGCCTTTTGCTGTGGGAGTTCCCTTCTCTGACAACTGTACCAACAAGATTCTATCATTGTGCAACGTGTGTTTCCTCTTGGTCAATCGCGAAGTGCCCCGGGCCAGCACACAGTGTTGTTGTTTAGAACTACAGCAGTATGCCAGCCTGCTTCCTCCCTTCAGTGGTGACCTGGAGGTGTGGCCCACGACAGCAGCTGGGTCTTAGTCTCAGGTGTCTTTCTAATCTGCCCAAGGACTTTTTCCATTGTCCGTTTATGAGGAAAGGATCAGATCGAAGCCCACAAAAGGATTATTTGGTGTGGCATAGAATTTCTTTTTAAAAAAGCAGACATTAAACACACTCAGACACAGACACAGATGTAGACAAATGAACCAGCTCTAGCGAGGAGGAGAGAGAGAGAGACTCCTAAAAGTACAGCTGAATCAGAAGAGAATCTCAGGTCCCGGAAGAAAATGACTCATGTGGCGGAAATGGAGCCCGTGCTGAATATCTGATTGTATCCTTGCTGTGATGGGAAGTAATTTCAAAGGACTCACGCTTCAGAACAAACCCTCAATTATGGTTGTAATTAATGAATGAATGGCCGAGCCTTCTGCTTGCAGGTCGCCTTTCATCCCAGCACACCTCAAAACCAAACAGCGGCCTTGCCCAGGACTCCCGCTGGCCCTGGGAGGGATGCAGGCCTGTGCACTGCCCTGCACCCTGGGGCCTGGCTGAGTCCCAGCATGGCCGACTTGTGTGTGACTGTGACCCGCAGAGAGCAGGAAATGTGTCCTGGGCTGCTGAGTCCTATCCTTCCGCCTCAAAACAAAGGTCAGGAACGAATGGAGAGGTCCTGCTGGGGGTGGGGCCGCTGCTGCCTACGGGTGACTAGCTTCAAAGGGAATTTAGGAATCAAATATCAGAGGCAGAAGAGATTTTTGCCATTCCTGGTTTCACAGAACCAGTTTAACAGAGGAGGCAAACAGCTGCAGTGGCATCTGGTGGGACAAGCTGAGTTCGTGTCAGTGGCAGAGCCGTCACTGTTACTGGTGAGTTGAGCCAGGGCTGTTGTCCCAGCCCATGCTTCTCTTTCCTCTCTTTCCTACTGAAGGTGGGCCTTCCCAGTTTACGTAGCCCTTTGCTTGTCTTTAGTCAACCCTCACCGTAACTCTTGTCACAGCCAGGCAAGGGTAGTGTCCCTACTTGGCAGATAAACATTTAGGGGCCCATAGAGCTAGTGATTCAGAGCTGATGTGCACCTACAATGTCACAGAGCAGGTTTGGGGCCCTCACTGTCCTCTCCCCCTGGAAAGTCGCCCGCTCCTGCTTTCCTTATAGTGCAAGAGTTACCCTCCTTAGCCATCATTTTCCGAGTTCTCCTGCATGAGCTGGGTGCCCCTTTGGGGAGGAAGCTGCCCTGCCTGGATGCAGAGTGCCCCAGTGGGATGGAGCCCTCTGCACCCCTGCCCCGCCGAAGCAGGGGTTGTGTCTTCCACCGCCAAAGCACCAAGGTCTGGCTTCTTGTAGCCATTTTGTTCAGCTGTAGTTAAGTCAGGAATGAACTTTTTAGAGTCGAGATTTTAACTGCTGCCGTCACCTCTACCCCTGTTCAGAACATGAGTTGAAGAACCAGGAAGCAGGAAGAAGCCTCTCTCGGGAGTGGATGAGTCATCATCTACAAAGGCTGATCCCTTTCCGGTTGTAAAGAAAATGGAAAAGGAGGAGAAGCACCAACTCTCTGTAACTGCTGGACAGGGCGTGGCTCGGTCAGGGCTGCCAGACCTCTGGCTACGCTGTACGTTCTCTTGCTCCACCTCAGTCCCCTACCAAGGAAAGATGGGGACAACTTGCCTCTGGGTCCTCCTGGGTCCTCAGCGGCCACTGGCCAGGCTGTGTGGTGGGGTGTGCAGCGGGACTGCCAGCCACAGGGCCCCCACTTCAACCGAGATCAGCATTCCCAACCTCCCCAAACCCCAGTAAGCTGTGATAAACACAGCTAGCCTCTCTGAAGACTCCTATTTCAGTGCCATCATCTTTCTCTAAGACGTAACTGCTGTCAGTCGGGCAGCTCCTGTCTGGTGTCTCCTCTGTTCTGTTCTGCTTGAATATGAATGGGGCGGTGCAAAGGAGCTTGAAACAATCAGGAGGCTCCAATCAGAATGCTTGAGTTTAGGCCAATTTGGACCAATCAACTGGCTTCATCTTAGACCAACCAGAGGACTTGAATTCGGACCTATCACAGGCCTTCAGCTGCTACTGTATTTCTGGGAAAATAAGACTGGGTCTTGTATTTGTTAATTTTTGCTCCAAAAGATGTCTAGGGCTTATTTTTAGGGGATGCCTTATTTTTTCATGTACTGTAATCTAATTTATTCATGTACAACAATCTATACTTATTCATTTATTCATGTACAAAACCTACATTTATTCATATTCATCATAACTCTCCAAACCCTGAATTCTGGCCTGAATTTCTTGCAACTTTATTTCCTGTAGAACCATTGGCCCCGACTCCTCATGTCCAGCAGTAGCGCTCCCCTTGCACGAGCATGTCTTTTCCATGTAGTCTCTGTGCAGTGCATTGGAGACCCAGCTGTGAGTGATTTTACCCCATGCATTCTTCACCCCAGTCATGACCTCGTGTAGGACGGGCTTCACCAAGTTTCCACTAAATCAAGTGTGCATTGAAGTCTTTCAAGACAGCAGTGGCAACAGATGATGACAGTTGAGAATGACGGTCTGCACCGAAGTGACAAAAAATTCACTCATTATCAATTCCATTCATGTGTTGTATCTGTGCTCTGATCGGTCATTTGGCAATGACTCTCTAGTTCATCTGTTTGTATAGGTGTTTACCTGACATCCAAAGGCACCCACTTGGGTGTTTACTAATATTTGATTATAATTTATACTATCATTTATTTTAAGTATTAATGCCAATAATATTTATCTTTAATTATATATTAATATTTTTATTTTATAATTCAATAAATCCATTATGTATTGCAGTGGATGTACTAAATGATGATCTCAACTGGGGCTTATTTTCAGGGCAGCACTTATTATGAGCATCTGGAAAAATCATGTGAGGCTTTATTTTCCAATTCAGTCTTATTTTGGGGAAATAGGGTGTTTGAGCAGCACTGTCCCCCACTGCTCTGGTAGGTCATGGAGGACTCCCTCTGTGTACTGACTCTCCTGTGGTGCAGCATGAGTCCATTCAAATAAAGCCTCCTCTGGTGGCCCTGTAAATCAACCTGTATTTCTCAGGTATCATGTGCTTAGAAGGTCCTGTAAATCTACGCTGGGTTGAAGAGCAGCAACTGGAAGAGTCCACTGATGGTTCCAACACATGACAGCATCAAAAGGCAGTGACTGAGAGTGGCAGAGACCAGTAAGTGTCAGTGTTGGCTGGCAGTATTCAGCATTAACTGGCGTCAGCCAGCGGCACCATGGCTGTTGCTCGTACAGTTTCACTTTGCTTGTTATGATTTCTGTCCCAGTTGCACAAAAGAACCCACAACTAATTGGCAACAACATCATCAAAGCATGCTCCTCCTGACCCCCACAAACCTCAGCAAGGAGAGTCCTTTGGGTTTTCCTCATCTCACGGTGCATGTGTGTTGGAAAACTTAGCCACAACTAAAGGAAGCCTGGGAGTGCTAGCAAGGAGCACCTGTGGCTGCTTAGGTGTCTGTCATGAGGAGACTGGGGCAGTGCTGTGGTTCCAATGCTCCCTGAAGGCTCAGGTTGGCTGTGAGATAGATACTGAGGAGTAGGACCAGGCTGCACCTTTGAGAGATGATTAGGTCACGAGAGCTGTGTCCTCATTAACGGATTAACCCATGAATTAATGGATGAATGGGTTAGCGGGTTCTCCTGACAGTGGGTCTGTTATCGAGGCCAGTCTGACTCTGTCTCTCGAATGCAACCCCCGGGTATGATATCCCTGCTTCAGGACCCTGCAGAGTCCCCGCTCACCAAAGGCCCTTACCAAGTGCCCCTCCTTGATCTGGACTTCCAGCCCCCAGAACTATAAGAAATAAATATCTTAGTGATTCTGTCAAAGCAATGGAAAACAGACTAAGAGGGGAGACGTGATGAAATGTAAGCAAATGAGGGAAACAGCGGTTGTTTTACTGCGTGGGAGTAAGCGGTGTTCCGGTGGACACAGGTGCTTCCGGCTCCCTGGTTTGGACCCAAGGCTCCTGTCTACGTGGCCCAGCTGTACGGGGGAGGAGAAGTCACCCCAGTGTGTGCGTGGCCCACATACTGTCTCTAAATTTTCTTGGCAGAATCTGCCATGGAACCGACCATTCCCCGCTCACTTCAGGTGTGTTTGAGGGGTAGTGACTTATTAGTCCACAAGCTTGGCCCACGTCTCATTTTATGCCAATGTGTGGGAGCTTTGATTTACAAGAGTTAAACTGGGGTAAACAGTTTCTTTAGTACATAGCAGGACCGGGATGGGAAAAAATTGGTGGTGACATTTGAGGGACAGGGGAGAACCAATCACTTCACAATACCACCATACAATCCCTTTTTCTTGTAACTTCTAATGTGTGGGATTTCATTGGGCTTTAAAAAGCAATGATAAAAGTGAAGCTTTCTTATAAAAATTCAATGAATATATGGAAGTACAAGAAAAAAAGATTTTAAAAGAAACACCTAATTCCACTACACAGACATAACCATTGATAAAATTTGGTGAATATGATTTCAGGAACTTCTATGTGTGTATATTTAAAGACATATGAGGGGCCAGAAGAATTTTAGAAAGAAGGGCTCTTATAATTGAGTTTATTTTAGAAATAATTGTTAATTATAATGTAATCAACAAATACGAAACTAAAATGAATTTACTTTACATATTTTCTACAGGATTGTGAAACATTCATCACGTTCTTTTAAATTTCACATTTTAAGAAGAGCAAAATGGCCTGTAAATACCAATATTTGTAAAATCACAGGACTAGAACGAATGTCCAGATGAAGTTCTCTGCTAACGATTTCTGTTTTTGGGAACCTCACCAGCAAATTGCTGAACTTATTTTGAAACTCTGTTTAAAGCCCTCAACAGATGATACTTGCATGCTTTCTCAGTACATGTCCAGCATTTAACCATTCTTTTGTTCCATGGGATTTCATCAGTAATATGGTTTCAATAATTTAAAATTTCTTCTTATTTCTGTGGAGTCCAAGCAATCAAAATTCTCACTCTTTGCATGACTTTCCACCTAAAAATTTTATAATTTTTCCATGCGATTCATGGTTTGGATGCAGTGAGCCATTGTCATGGAAGGGGGTGGGTATTTTAGAGGAGTGTGGGCAGGCATGGCCTGCTGGTGGGTCAGGAGTCAGAGGCAGCTCTGTTGACACTTAGCTATCATTGCCCGGAGTGCATTCTGTTTGTGCCTTTTAAAGACAATCATCCCATCACTGAAATATTTTGCAGGCTCCCTCTTCTTTGGACAGAAGAATGGCCAACGTGATCCCCAGAAACATTTTTACCCAGTAGTAGTAGGCAAAATCACCATGTCATTATCTTATGATTTGGAGGGTTTTGACTTCTTTTTTTTTTTTTTCTTGGTACCGGGGATCAAACCCAGGACCTTGCACTTTCGAGGCAGGTGGCAGAACCACTGAGGTAAATCCCTGGCCCAAGAAGGGTTTTATAAAAAGACAAAGCCTTTATAAAAATAAAACACAGTATCTGCTGTTTGGATTGGACATTTTCTTAGTGCCTCACTTTCTTAATTATAGCCAAATAAAAAGAAATGAATCTATTTTCTCATATTTCTAGTTATTGAGAAAAAGGGGGGAAATAGGAGAAATTTAAGAAGTATCCCACATGGTATTTTGGACTAAGGAGAAAAGGAGGATTGACTGTAAATTTGCTTCCAAAGAGTATCAGTATATAGTGACTGAAGTAAAAAACAAAATAATTTTTAAAAGAAGGAAGTATTCTCCAGTGATAGTTAACAAGACAACTGTTAGGAATTCTTCTTAGCTTGATTCTGGAACATAAGATGGAAAGAGAAAAGGATGCAGAAGTGGCAGAGCCTTACGTGACTTGGAAGTGAGAGTTGGGGAATTGGAAGAGGTGAAGACATCAAGGGGAAGGAAAAGGATGAAGATCCAATGCAGTAGGATCTGTGCGTACGAAATGTAGGTCAGGTAACTTTGTTAAGGCCTAGCTGTATTAGCGTAGTTCTAAGAGACTTGGACACACCTGCAAAAATGAGAGACATGTTTGCTGCCCAGTCCCCATGTCCACCCACTGCTCGTGGTCCGACCACTCAGTTAGGGGACGGGTTGGAGACCAAGCTCGGCCGACTCCTCTGTGATTATCCAGTATCGCCACCTCATAGTAGCCTCTCTATAAATCCTCTTCAACTCCATCTTGGGAAGATCAGGAAGCCGTAGTGGATGGTGTGGAACAGACTTCGTGAGAACAATGAGAAGTAAAGGGAGCTGATTGTGGGCAGGGTAGATAAAAAGATGAGCTTGTTGCAGGTGTGGCTGTAGAAGGCCAAGCCTGGAATCTGGGCACTGGCATAGTTAGCTCTGTCCATCCTGCCAGAAAGGAAAGCTGGAAGTGAAACACAAATCCTGCAGCAGCTCCTGAATCCTAGATTTTGCTAATTGTATCCCCATGTTACTTTTCAAACCATGATCCTCTCATCCTTGTTTTCCTTATAAGCTAGTAGATAGGTCTAAGGGCTTTATTAAGTTCAAGCTTGGCTTTTATGGCAAGAATACTTCATAAAGAATGTTATGTACTTCCTTTTGTTTCTGCTGTATTAAAATGCCTTACTACTAGCTTTGTGTGACCATGGACACTTCAACTCTTTTAGCTCCCTATTGGAGAATTTTCCCAGCTGAAAAAAATCAATATAGTGTATTAGTTTAAACTGAAGTCTTAACTTGAAATTCAGTATACAGAGAATGCCAAAGAATGTATACACGCTTCAGGAAAAATTCGTCTGGTATTTTTTCAACAGGCGGTGTTACCCCTCATACGGAGGACCTTGGAGGATGTTGTACATCGCAGAAAACTCACTACACTGCCAACCCTTAGAGAAGAAATTGAAAATGCAAAAAAAAAAAGAAAATGCACCTGCAGCAAGCTCAGTGACCAAGGTGACCCAAATGGCAGTTCACCGTACTAATAAATATCTGGGAGCTCATGGCCACCACTCTGAGCACCTCTTGTCATTGTAGAGGTCAAAGGTAACTTGTATTAATCTCATGATGTCCAAATAAATTTAGTAATAAAACATTTATACAAGGTTTTCTTTTCCTAAAGAGTGTGGATACATTTTTTGGAGGAATATGTGTGTGTGTGTGTGTGTGTGTATATTTATTTCAAGAAGTCAGTAAAATCTCTAAACTTGCATGCAAAACTTTACTTTCCTGAGAAGGAGGCTATTTCTTTAACCTTGCAAAGCAGTATATACATTGAATAAGTTAGGATCCTATAATGTAAAACTCCCGAGTCTCCTTCCCTCTGTTGGGCTTTAGTTAACAATAAAACATTTGAGGTTTTTGTGTTTCATAAAAATGTAATCTTGGACTTTGAAATGAGAGGTATTTATCATCTGCTTTGCTTCATTCCTTTTCATTTTACAGGCAAAAAGAAACAGTAGCTAAGACCACAGCAAGATCAGGCTAGCAGCAGAGCCCGGACACTTACTGTTGTTCTGCGGTCAGGCCCTCCCTCCTCCCACTTTTAAAGCCATGGACATGATTCTTTAAGTTCATTAAAATTTTTAGGATTGTAGGATGTTGGTTCAAGCACGTGTTTATTAATAATTGTCCAACTACACTTTAAACATCCCTATGGCTTTTTTTTCTCCCCTCAAAGTACGTATTTTGTCTCTCATTCAGAGTTGGCTAATGTCTATAACCACAAATACTTTGAATCAGAATATTCTAATTTATTTCATTTAATTATTAACTTTGTTGAGAGATTCTAGCTAATAGACAATTCCTGCTTTTAAGGATCCTTTAGCTTCTGGATTTGAGTATTTGCTGCAGTTTTGCTTTTTTTTTTTTTTTAGTATTTTGCCCAATAATCTGTTATATGACTACGAAGGCTGGGTCTGGGGTGTTTAGCAGCAATGACCAGCTCTTTACTCATTTTTAGGTCAAATTCAGAATGGCCACACTGCAGGGAGATGCCGCAGTTTGGCTTCATCATGGAGAGGGTCCCTTTTCCACCGGGAGGGTTGTCAGGGTCTTTTCACCGAGCGACAATGAAGTCATTGCCATTTTTTTTTTTTTTTTTGGTACTGGGGATTGAACTCTTGAACTCGGGTCCTTGCGCTTGCGCAGCAGGCGATGAAACCACTGAGCTAAATCCCCGGCAATCACCATTTAAATGACGTCTCTGTCACCCAGTACCTGGGAACCTCATTTGGTGACCTTTTCTTCCTTGTTTCTTCCTGCAGCTCCCTCCCTGGGATGCGGAACCTTCCAAAGAGGGCAGGCTGTGCTGAGCTTCTTTGAAAGTAGTGCCAAGTCCCTCTTCCTTAAACTTGCTTTCAGAAAGGTCCTTAAATCCTTTCATGCTACTTTGGCCCGCCACCAAGTGGTGACTTTGTTCATTCAAGGTGACAGAAGAAAGACAGATCTCCACTATTGGGTGGGGAGGGCTATTGCGAGACTGAAATGGTTTCACTCTTCTCTTTGCTTCTTACTGTCATCTTGACCCAACAGACATGATAAGTAATCAAACAAATCCCTTATACAAAGGCTCTTGGCTTTAAAAATCCCTGAATTAACCCACATGTTAGCTTTGGTGCTTACTGGGCGTTACTTTCTTTTTCTTTTCCCCCATCAAGAGCCGTTTGAGTAACTAGTGTTGTTTGTCAAGGCATGATCTCATGTAGTTTGCTGGCGTCCTGTCCTTAGGGGGGTTCACTTCAGCCAGTGGTTCATGTTTCGGCAGGGCCTGGTGTACATGAAGGGCGGTGGCAGACTCCTGACCCTCCCTCCCAGCATTCTTCCTCTTTTGACAGCTGGTACCTGAAATTCAACCATTTATTTGTTTGCTTCTTATTCCATAAGTCTTACTACATTGTTCACACATTCGCTCATTTCTTCCCCAAGTATTTATTGGGTATGTATTTGAGGGGCTGGAGTAGAAAGAGCAAGGAAGGAAGCAGCACAAGGAGAAGCCAGTGGCACACAGAGATGTTGGGTCATTGCAGGATTTTTCCAGCCCTGCTGTGTATTCTGATTGTTGACATAAGCATCATGGAAAATCTCAGAAAGGCTTTAAGCAGGAGTGCTGAGCCATCATCATATTGATTGGTCAAGAATATAATCCCGGACACCTTGTGGAAAAGCACGGGAGCAGGGATAAGCATTTGGGGACCTCAGGGGGCCATTGCACCTGTCTGGAAGAGAAGTGACAGTGGTTTGCTTATTATTTTTAGTAGAGGAATGACTTAGTGAAATATTCAGGGATATTAGAGTAGTAAGAGCTAAATCCCCTGCCCTGCTTGACTTTCAGTTTGAGATGCAGGTTTGTTCTTTCCCTTTCTCTCTTCTTTGGGTAGGCATAGTTGTGTCGTAGTCATGTTGTTGTGGCTGGAACAGACAGCCCGATGCCCACAACTGAAAGGAGGTGGGGTTTATTCTGGCTCACCGATTTTTAGAGGATTGAGTCCACGGTCAGCTGGCTCCAAGGCAGGAAGGGCACGGTGGAAGGGTCTGGGGGAGGAGAGATGCTCACCTCATGGTGGCCAGGAAGGAGACGGAGAAGGGAGGAGCTGGGGAGGGAGATGCACCCTTCCAGGTCATGCTCACAGTGACTGCCTCTTCTTTTTAAAGCTCACCTCTATGATGACCTTTTCTACAACTTTGTTACCATGCAGACAAGTGGAAAGGATCAGAGCTGGGGGTTAGAGTTCATGCTCTGCTGTTAATTCACCTGGAAACCTTAACTTCTCTGGTCTCAATGTTCAAATCAGGAGAATCAGGCTGAATAACCTTCCCTGTAATTGGCAGGGTTGTTGTGAGGTGTGAAGGAGTTGGCATACATATGGGAACTTTGCAGTCTGGAATCTGTGCATATACATGACTCAGGTGAGTGTGGTAACCCACAGGGGGCCGTGCACAGGGGTGGGCTGAAGACACTGATGACTGTGATAATGATTGTGAACACCCGTGGGTCCACCCAGCAGTCATGACCCACAGGTGTGGACAGAGAGGAGACCGATGAAGTTGTCAGGAAGTCACGAGGGTTGGAGCAAAAATCCCAGGCTAAAAGCGTGCTTCTACCTCCAGATGAACTAATAAAGAAATCATAATTACAGGACTTTATATTTAGTAAGCACAGCCCACGAGATGGTGGGATCTAGGCTGATGAATATCCTCACACCAGGCTTAAATTCTGCTGTCTGCTGGTAGTCCCTCAGTGCTTGATTTTCACAACTGCAGACTGAGATTACACCTAACCAACGAGAGCGGAAATCAAAGTAAGTAATCTATCCATTACCCCTAAAAGCGCTCAGTGGTAGTGTTGTTAAAATACATTTGTGTATTAAAGTATTTCAGAATACTTTATTTTGGTTGGGTGAAATAATATACTCTAAAAGAGCTAAAAGAGGAGACCTTGAAGCCTCCAGACACAAATGATAAGGATATGGAAATGCTAATTATTCTGATTTAATGATTACACATTATATGTACGGGAATATCACAGTATACCTCAGATAGGCATATAATTATGTGTTAATTAAAATGCAAATAAAAAAATATGTGTCTATGTTCTGGCTTTGGACGCAGTGTTCTATATATATATATA